TTTTTAACATATTTTATCTTTTAGTGAGCTAAATTAGTCACAACCATGTTAAAATAAAGGCATAATATTTTTTTATATATTGTTGATCATTTGATAATAAAAATGGGTGCTATAAATACTAGATTATTTTAATTTTCTTTTTCTTTTTATATAACTCTCAAAATATGAGTAAAAGACTCCAAAAAAAAATATAGAAAGGGAAAAAAAGAAAAAATTTCAGTTCAGTGTGAGTCTTAAAAAATAATTACAAATAAATAATAAATTTTATAAATATTAATAATTAAATTTATAAACTTTTTCATGGATATGCAATAATTTTATAGAATTACCACTGATTTAGAATTTTCTCCACAAAAAAAAAAGAAAAAAAAAAGGGTATACATAAGAGGAGAATTGAACCCTGATGTTATTTTTTTCAATTGATGAATATTCAATCAAGGGAGAATAATAAGTAAAGATGATTCAATTGAACAATGTTGTTTGACTTGTAAAAGAAGTACAAATTCACACACACACACACACACACAAAAGGAAGAAAATAAAAACTTGAAAATAAAAAAAGTGTTTGGACAAATAGAAAATAAGTGGAGGTGTTTTATGGCAATTGACTTGGAAGCAACAAACAGGGACTTGGATTTGGTGCATCTCTATGAGGTCAATTTATTACTTTATAAAATTTGTCTTTATATTGAAGCTAAACTAATAATGAGGTCAATTTGTTACCTTATAAAATTTGTCTTTATATTGAAGCTAAACTAATAAAATAAAGCAAGACTCCACGAATTGACTCACACCGACATCCGCATTTCCAACCGCTAATTTTTTATTTTTTTTATTTTTTTTATTATTATTATTTTTTTTTTTATAAAAATAAGCAAATGGCTTTTCTCACCTATCCCAGCCAAAAATAAACAAAATACTTCTTAACCTTTGTGCATAAGATCAAATGTTAACTTAGTAGGTGTGCATTTTTTTAAAAGTTATTTAAATAAAAATAAAATATATTTGTAATTCTTAAAGTATGCATTTGTGTCACTTGATCTTTTAAGTTTTAATTTTATCAATTTCATCTTAATTTCTTTTTTAATTTGGGTCAAATTAATCTAATTTCAGATGAACCGTTTAAATTAGTAACTTCCATGTCACTTTGATCTCATAAATTTTTAATTTTACACTTTGGTCTCTAAACACAGATGAAGAGAACGAAATATATATAAATTAAAGTATGCGTTTAATATCATTTGTAGTGATTATTTATTTCTTCCTCTTTATGAGGGTTGTGATAATGGTTTTATTTGTTGGCCCAGTTTGGTAGAGCTTAATTCCAGCTTATTTCAGTTTTTAATTTAATTTAAACTATTTTGATGTGTTTGGTTTAGCTTAACAATACAGCTTATAACTTTTTGTAAGTCAAAAATCAACTTATTCTTTGAGTGGGGGAGGAGAAGCTTAATTTATTAGTCAAAAATCAGCTTACGTTCACAGTTATAAGTTATAAGCTGTTAAGGTATAAGCTATTATTACTTTCTCACAGTTCTACCAAACGGGGCCGTTGTTGGGTTAGGTGTTTTGGTTGTGTTAAGTTTTGTTGAGTTTTTAGTTATTGTTGAGTAGTAGTCTATTTGATGATATATTTATTTCTCATATTTGTAATTACTCTCCGTTTGATTATCAACCAAAAAAAAAAAGAGAGAAAATTGACAGAATTAAACTTTGGAAGCCAAAGTGACATAAAAACACATATTTTATAAATTTTATAATTACAACGTTAACAGATTTAGATGACCGTATGTAATTGGACTAATTTGAATAAAATTGAAACCTTTATAAATAAAATTGATAAAATTAAAATTAATAAATTAAAGTGATACAAAATGCATGTTTTAAGGACCATGCTTGTATTTTGTCCTTTAAATAATGACTCATGCAATACATAGCCAAGGTGCAAAGTGTAATAACAAGAGTCTTAAAGTATTTTTTATAAGTCTTAAATCACTTTCATATTTTAAAATATTTTTCATACATTCTTATACTTTTCTTACCTCCTTGTAGATTAATGTAGTACATGGAGTCAAAAATAATAATAAGATAGTATTTTTTTTTTTTCTCAAACGCGTGAAACTTATTACCTTAAATAATTGAATGTTTAGAAGAAGAAGAAGAAAAAAAAAAACTATGTGAAAACATCTATTCTATTATTAAAAGGGAACGGTGATTTTGGTGTCATGAAGTTTTTATCACCTGTAAGTTATATATATTTAAAAAAAATAAATACACTTGCACGTCTCAATTGCCCTACACGTTTTGTTCCTACACTTGCACGTCTCAACTGCCCTCACTTTAACTGCCAATTATATATTTTTTACTTCATCCCTCACGTTTGTTCTCTCACTTTTCGCTTCATCCCTTTGCACAAACTTTTCAACAGATTTCCAATCTCACTATCAACAATTCCGCATCGGTGAATTCAATTCAATCAATTTGTCTAACAGATTTCCAATCTCTTTGCTTTATCCCTCTGCACAAACTTTTCAATGGATTTCCAATCTCTCTCTTTCAATTTAAGCACGTGTTGCTGTCTCTCCATCCTTCTCTTTCATGGGCTCTCTTATCTTTTGGTGAGGGCAAAATCTTTTTCATGGACCCGAGCGGTGGTGTCGCCGCCAGATTCTGCATCCAAAGAACCACTTCCTCCTCCTCAACGAAGACGAGCAAAATCTTTTTCATGGACCCGAGCGGTGGTGTCGCCGCCAGATTCTGCATCCAAAGAACCACTTCCTCCTCCTCAACGAAGACGAGCAAAATCTTTTTCATGGACCCGAGCAGTGGCGCCGCCGCCAGATTCCGCATCCAGAGAACCTGGGCTCTCTTATCTTTTGGTGAGAGCAAAATCTTTTTCATGGACCCGAGCGGTGGTGTCGCCTCCAGATTCCGCATCCAAAGAACCACTTCCTCCTCCTCAACGAAGACGAGCAAAATCTTTTTCATGAACCCGAGCAGTGGCGCCGCCTCCAGATTCCGCATCCAGAGAACCACTTCCTCCTCCTCAACGAAGACGACGTTTTCTAGACCGGCGACTTCGCCGACCACAACCGTTCCTCCACCTCGCATTCCATTTACTCCTCTCCCCCGCTCCCACCACCACCATGGCGTCGGCCGTGCAGAGAATTTCGGCATCCTCGCTGCATTACCTTCGGTAACGGAATCGGATCAGACTCGCTCTGTTTTCAACCACAAGGCTTCGACGTCGGTCTCTTCGTCGACGTCTTCGACTTGGTCGTCGTCGAGGATGATTCCGAAGAAACCGCCTCTGGATCAGAATAGTCTGTTTTCAAACAAACAAGAATAATATTTTGTGTGTGTATGTATTTTTTATTTTTTAAAATCAATGTTCTTAATTTTATATTTGCGTGTTTATAATTTATGTTTTGAAAAAATTGGTTTGTTTGGATAGTTAATTTTGTGTGTGTGTCTTTAAAAAAAATAAAAATAAAAATATTATGTTTTCAATAAAATTCGTTTGTTTGTTTGCTTAATTTTATGTCTTCAAATTTAATACTAAATGTTACATTGTACATAATTATTCATATGATTTATATGTATATTATTAAAAAAAATAATATCAAATTCATATTATAATTCTAAACGAATTTGCATACGTATCGCGTGTGCATGGTTGCTAGTAGTTACTAAAAATCTGCTCTCTTTTTTTCAGAAAATTTGTTTGTAACCCAGCTTTACAAAAATATCAAACTCCACTCATATAATTTAAAATGTAACAAGAGATTAGGCAGATATTTTAAAAGCCTATCTGATAATTTTTTTAGAAAAATATCATTAAATGAAATGTTAAAAAATAAATATTAACCAAAAAACTTTAAATATTATTAAAAGATAAATTTGTAAATTTTTCCATCACATGATACTCTTTTCAACAATTCCCCCCCCCCCAAAGAAAGTAGAAAAATTACAAATATATGAGACAATCACAAAATAATTATATTTCAAATGAGAATTTTTTAGAACAATTCTAACACACAGGAAGAATTGCAGTAAGCACAAAAATTAATTAGACAATGCACATAAGATAGGAGAAGAGTTACATCATCATAAAAATATACTGTAATTTTTTTTGAATGGGAAAGACTATGGTATACACCCGTTAAAAGGGTGTATACAAATGCACCTTTCAACTACATAAAAAAATTATATAATTTTATACTTTCTGAGTCATAATAAGAAGAAAAAAAATTATAACTAAACACTATATGAAGTATAATCAAATATTTCAAAATAATATTATAACTAACAAAAAAAAAATCATATCTAAAAAAAAAAATGACGTAAGCCTATTTTGACATGAGTTAAAAGTTATCTTTTTAATTTTTTTGACTTTTCTTGATCACATCTCTTTATTTTTTTTATATATTTTTTTAAAATAAAAAAAAAATTAACTATTAACCTATTTCACAAAGCACAGGAAAAAAAATGGCAAATTACATATACCTGCCTTGAGGTTTGACTAAATTACAAACACCTCCTTGAGGTTTCGGAAATTACATTCCGCCCCCGAGGTTTGTATTTTCATAACAATTTGTCCCTTGAGGTTTAAATTTCATAACAAATTACCCCCTAATTTGTTATGCAAATATAACACTCAATGAGAAATTTATAATTTTTCAAATCTCAGAGAAGTATTTATAATTTAACCAAGCCTCGAGGGATAAATGTAATTTGCCCAAAAAAAAAACCAACTTGTCAACTTATTTTTGATCATATACCTCTTTACTATTTTATATATATTTTTTATAATAAAATAAGGCAACGAGCCAAAAAATTTTACTTCAATTCTCATCCTTGTAACGGAAGTGTAATTTTCCCAACCAAAAAGAAAGTAAGTTGCGACGTGGCATTCCCTCGCGGCCTGTGAAGAAATATAGACGTTGGAGTTACGGCAAATTTTATGGGGAAGGGTGAGTGAAAGTCCATCAAATAAGGGAAGTGTGTGACGTGACCTCATTTATTATTTCGTAAATCGCTGCGCTTCCCTCTCTCGCTCTCTCCAACAACTGAACTAACTCCTCTCTCTCTCTCTCGCTCATTTCGTTTCTGTATTAACATTCTGTTGAATTCAGCAGCTAGGGTTTCGATTCTTCCAGTTGGAAAAGGAAAAGAAGAACACAGAGATTGAAAGGTCGGTTCTATTCTTCTCTGCTTTTCCTTCTGTTTTACCTTTTTTTTTTTTTCCCTTTATCTCGCTTTCAACAATGCGTAAACGTGCCATCCTTCTTCTGATCCAATCTTGAATTCTGTTTCACGGTTTGAATCAGCTTTTCACCTGATTTACATTGTCTTGTGTTGTTTTCCTTTTGTTTTATATATATATAGGTATATTTTTTTGAACGGATTGTTTTATATATAGAGAGAGAGAGAGGGTTTTCAAATGATTCATTAATTTCGATTTCAACGTGTCTGATTTTTTTTCTGATGTTAATTGTAACTGAGTTTTTGAAGTTGCATGAATCAAAATTGGTTTTTAAAATGTAGAATAGGAATACTTGAGGTTGCCATTAATTATGAATGTTTGTTGTTTGAATCTCTCTCTCTCTCTCTCTGTGGTTTTGGGATCTGCCTTGTTACTTTTTGGGCAAATTACAACTTTACTTCATCAATTATGGGTCGTTCTACCCCTCAATTAAAAATTATTACATTTTGTCACCTAATAATTTGTTCAATCTCAATCGTCTGTTAATATTATGTTATGAAAAGAAGGTGAAAAAAGTGGCATGTGAATTGTACATGCCAATTTTACGATAAAGATGTCCATTCAAGAGCTAATTTACATACATGTAGGTGAGAAGGGCAAAATAAAGCATTTTTTAGTTGAGGGGTAGAGTGACAATGGCATATAATTGAGGAGGGTAAAGTGTAATTTGTCCTTATTTTTTTAAAGACATGGGATGGTTGTTAGTCAATTGTTTCTTTGACACGTTTTCAAATTTATGCAGCAGAAGCAAGGAATTGGGCCACGCTTGATATTATTCCCATAGAAGTCTGATGTTGGAAATGGGTTCAAGATGAAGCTTTGGTAGATTTTGGGCACTTTTCAGGTCTTTTAAGCAGATGCGATGTTTAACATACCCGTGAGATGCTTAACATGGTTGGGCATTGGAGTTGTTAGTGAGGTCTAGTAATGGCTATTGCTGGTTTACAAAATGTTCCTGTGCTTGATTCTTCTTTTAATAGAGAATCCCGGTCTCCACTCTCAAGGCGGTGGGGTAATCATGACAGGCTGAGCACTCGGACATCCTCTCTTCTGCAAATGTGGCGGACGCTCGAGGGTGAGCATGTGATGAGTCATTCCCAATTGAGAGTTGGTGATAGATTGCTGCAACAGAGGATTCATGTCTCAAATGCTGACCTTGAGAATGCACATTTATCTGAGAGACAAGATGGTGATGATGAAGATAGCTTGGGGGATGGCAATGAGATTGCAAATGAGTGCCAAACATGGTCCCAAGGACAAATCAGGTTGCAGAATGAACAAGAAAATGGGAACAGTTCTAGCTCAGAGCAGTCCACTGATTTTGGGGAGGTTGAAAGGGAGAGGGTGAGGCAAATCTTCCAGGAATGGATGAACAGTGGAGTAAGGGGCCAAGTATCGGACGTTTCCCATGTGAACAACTATTCGAGGGCACAATGTCTTGGTGAAAATGAGTGCGAAAGAGTGAGAGTTATAAGAGAGTGGACACAAATGACTAGCCAGCAGAGAGACACTTGTGGTAGCAGTAGGGAAGAACAGGCTGCTCACATTGGTGCTCAAATTGAACGAGTTCGTGATGGACTTGTTGTTAATCATAGTGAGATTGGTGCTCAGAGGAACATCCGCCAATTATGTGGCAGACAGGCTTTGCTTGATTTGTTGGCAAGGGCCGAGAGGGAAAGGCAAAGAGAACTCCAGGGTTTGTTGGAGCATCGGCCTGTATCTGATTTTGCTCACCGTAATCGTATTCAGGTATAATCTGTTTTTGAAAGCTGATATTTCTTCACTCCTATTTTTATGTCATCTCTCAACTCCTTTTCCTTTTCACTCTGTAGCCTTATTATTTATGCAACAACCTCTACAGCAACAACAAAGCTTTAATACAAATCAATTATAAGTGGTCTCAATCAATCAACTGAGTTCGACAATCTAATTAGAGCTCAATGGACACTCGACTGTGATCACAGATTTAAATCAAAGACTTGACTAAAGGCGCAACCATGCTTGATTTCACTCAATCATTGTTTGAACTAATCAGATTATGTTCAAATTAGAGAAATCGTAACAGATGTCCTTCGAATTGATCTAATTAGGACTGGAATGTGTAATCACAACTTTCTTGAACTTGAAGCGATCAATTAGGGCTCGGAATTTGGAGTTGCATTGGTTCAAAAATTCCAGGACGTATGACTACCAAAATTTTGTTTTTTGTTTGTTTTTTTTTTTTTTACTTAAAGATGACTTCACATTATGGCCTTTTCATAAGTTTTAATATGTGTACAGATATATCCAGTTTTGATGCTTTGTTACTGAAATCCATGCTTCATGTTTGACCCATGATATTGTTCAGTTTGGGGTTTCTGCATACAAAGCATGGGAAACTTTTTGACAGTTTAAATGTTGCAACTATTTTTCAGTCATTACTGAGAGGCAGATTTTTGCAAAGTGGAAGATTGGTCCAAGACGAGAGACCCTCTTCTGCGGCGGCAAGTGAATTGGGTTTGTTGAGGCAAAGACAGAGTGTGTCTGGTTTGAGGTATCTGTTTGTCTTCTATATCTGCTATAAGAGTGTGTTATATCTTTTCCTTTCTCTCATAGGCATGTTTGCTTTTACTTTTTTCTTATTTTGTGTGCATCCAATAAAATATAGTTTTTTTTTTCAAATTAATCATGTAAACATACATTTCTATGAGTATTATGCCAAAACTCCAATCTCCTCATATTTTGGTTCATTGCATTTAATTTTTTTTGCTCCTAAGAAACCTTAAGGAAAAAATTGGGACCCCTTTGGAATGTTACTCACATTTTAGAACAAAAGTGTACACCATGCTTTGGAACTTGCATACTAAAATGTCAAATTGCTAGAATATTGGCGTTTTCTCCTGATACTGCTTCCTGGCAAGTTTGTGCTGTTTTCTAAAATATAAATTGGTGAACATCAGGTATTACCCAATGGTATGCAATGTGATGTGTCACTTTAAGTTGACTTCATTTTATGAGCAGTGGTTTACAAACATGGAAGCTTTTTATTTTATGCACTAGTCAATCAATTTAGCAATTTAGTATTACCTTGTACATCTTTAGATATTTGACTTTCTTTACATTCTTCATGGACTGTCGGAGCATTATTAAAGTCTTTGTACTCATTCTCCTTGGTTATATCTATTAGGTCATTATGGTTTTTGTTTTTCTCTAGTATTGGAAATATCTTATTGAGTTCTTGGATTAGACCATATGTTCTTATTTTGGCATATTACTGAAGGAGATCTGTACCTATGTTACCTAGAATATGGATCGTTCTGGTACATGAAACGGGAACGAAAACGGGAACGTGGTACGCTACATGCTCTAAAATGTGGTATGATAGGAGTAGACTTGTATATATTACACTTAAAAATTTAAGATACGTCTAGAGTAATTTTCTTTTAACTATTAGGTATCCAATTTTTTTATTTTTTTTTCATTTTTTTTTATTATTTTTTTTTTCATGTAACAAATTATTTGTATGAAAATTATGACCCATTTTTTATTTTTTATCTCGTCAAAATTTAACTCACCTTAGATTTTAGTTTATATATTTGATTTTTTTTTCTCCTAAGGTAACATTTAAATAAATATATTGGAAAGAATTTTTCGGATCGCATCGGATCACTAAATTTACCATTTTGGAACGAAAGTGTACCATGTTTCGAAACGTACGTACCAATACGTAAATCGCTAAGGTATTAGCGTTTTCTAGTAACATAGGTCTGTACTTGTTCATAGTTAGTTTTAATTCATAAAAGCAAAGATTTGTTTGTTTATTTATCCACTAAATTGGAACCATTTTGTTCAAACAGGGAAGGATTCCTTTCCAGATTGGACAATTTTATCCCAGGATCAGCTATCACTGCCCAGTCTGATACCACGTCTTACAATGACATAAATGATTATAGAAATGAACAAACTCAAACAAACAGTTCATTTGAGGACCTAGATGCAATCCAGGAACAATCTGAGCCTTGTAATGGTGAAAGAGACATTGATGAATTATGCACTGTTCCCTTGAATAGCGACGCTAGTGAAGATATAAATTGGCAAGAACCTAATGCTGCGCATGATTTTGAAAATGAGGAAAGAGAGGGACAACCATCATTTAATCCTGAGTCCATTGGAAGGAGAGATAGTGTTATGGAAAATGCGGGTAGAAAGCGGGAGGGAAATAGTACAAATGAACAGTTACAAGGAACTTCAGGAAATGAAAGTGAAGAACAAGGTTGTCAGCAAGAAGCTCATGAAGTATTTCATGAAAGATATGAACCTAGTGGTGAGGAATGTGATGTCCATGGGTCATCAATTTATGCAGATGGTTATGAGAATAACACAACTGAAGGCATACAACGGTCACATACTTTTCCAGGACAAGGTGAGTGGCAGGAATCAATTACTGATACTGAGGACAGTGACTGGCAACAGTTAGACAATGCTGAATTTAGTGGATGGAGAGATGGTACTGCAGAAGGCACAGATGGAAACTGGAGGGAAAGTGATGTTAATCACTGGTACCAGGAAACATCAGGAAGTGAAGGTGATGAACACCAACACCTGCAACAATTGCATGAAGAATGGCATGACAATGGTCAGCAGGATGATGCTATGGATAATTTGCTAGAAGGATCTTCCGCCTGGGAAGCTGATCCAGTGAGAAGGTTTGATACATTTTCTTTCCGAGATGATGATAACGTTTACAGTACAGAAATTAGAGAGCTTTTAAGCAGGTTTGTTATTTGATTACTTTAGACCTTGGGCATTTTAATCCTTCAAAATGATGGAAATTTATGGGAGGTTTTATTCATGTTGTAGGAGAAGTGTCTCTAATCTTCTTCAAAGTGATTTCCGTGAGAGCTTAAACCAGTTGATACAATCATATGCGGAAAGGCAAGCTCATGCTTCAGTTGATTGGGAAGTAGATGGAATGTTACCCTCTCCACTATCTCCTGCATTAGTAGAGCAAGATGTGCCGCAGAGTGGAAATCAGAACCAGGATTGGCCAGATGCTTTGGAGAGGACTCCATTTGTTCTCCCTCCACCTCCAGTCATCCCTTCTCATCCTTTTTGGGGCCCGGAGTTGCATGGTGATAATTGGCCCCAAAATAACTTGCATCAACGCTTGGGAATTGTGCGTTGTTCATCCCATATCAAGTATTACTATTTAGGGTAAATTACACTAACCTCTCTTGAGGTTTGAAAAAATATACTAAGCCCCACAAACTTAGCATTATTACATTGTACTCCCATATTGGTTTATTTCACATAACACAGCGCCTTTTCCATCAGTCATTTGTTATGAAAAAATAATGTTATCATCTCTTTTACACTGAAATTTATGTTTTACCGTTGATTATCCATGTGTTGTTTACATACTACATGTATTAGTTTTGTTTGCTTTAGAGCATTATTAAAAGGGAGGTGAGTGTAACTATGCCAAACTTGTGGGGCTTATATTATTTTTTCCAAAAACTTCTGGGATGGTCAGTGTAATTTACCATACTATTTATGTTGTGTAAAATATCTCACAGATTTTCTTTAAAGTCATTTGAATCAACCTTAAATGTGCAAAATAAATGTCATGGTGAAATTTTAGCACGTGAAGATGATCTTTCTTCATGGTTACATTGTGATCCAAGTGATCCAAACGATGAATATTCTAAATGGACCCTATTTGTAAGTTGCATCTTTGGTGAAAGTTTTATGTGAATGAGTATTGTTATGTTGAAATCTCTCTTTTCGGTCTATTGATTTCTATAGTTCACAATTTGAACTTAATATTGTTGTTGATTGGGAGCAGGAGTGGGAGATCATTAATGATTTGAGGATTGACATGGCTAGGCTTCAGCAGCGAATGAACAACATGCAGAGGATGCTAGAGGCCTGCATGGATATGCAGCTTGAATTGCAGCGCGCTGTACGACAAGAGGTTTCTGCAGCTCTGAATAGGTCAGCTTGTTCTACAGGTTTGTCTACACCCTTGACACAATTGGGCTTTTGCGTGTTTTTTTTTAAAATTTATTTATAACTTTTCCCTCTTTCCTACTTTGCTAATGCTGGCCTGTTTGTTTTTCATAAATTTCTCTCTTTCCTTTTGTATCTAATTTCATTTAATTTTATTTACTTGATGTGTGCAACTCCTGCTGGCCTGTTTGTTAGTTTTCGTTTCCTTGGCTAAATTTCCTTAGGTTGTGTTTGTATCTTGAATTTGTTGATAGATTTGTGAAGGGTTCCTTCCCTTTTCTTTTTCCCTCAATAAAACATTTCACAAATACAAGATCCAAAAGTATTGACCACTGAAAGCCGTCTTTTAATCTGTTGCAGAGGAGGGTGATGATAAGTGTCTGCCAAAGGATGAATCCAAATGGGATCATGTGAGGAAAGGAATTTGCTGTATGTGTTGTGATCGCAACATAGATTCTTTACTGTACAGGTAAAATTGGACAACGCTGCTGCACAGTTTCATGATATAGATCACAAGAACACGCATGTCAAATGACATTCTTCACCATAGGTCTTTTAGTTTCAATCTTGTAAGAACTTTTTCTTTCCATGCTTTTCGTGTCACAGATGTGGGCACATGTGCGCGTGTTCAACATGTGCAGATAAACTGGTCCAAGGAAGAGGGAATTGTCCGATGTGCCGAGCGCCTGTGGTTGAGATGATCCGAGCCTATTCTGTTCAATAATAACAAACACATGACAAAAACAGAAAAGGAAAAAAAAAAAAAAAAGAATATGGGGAATAAATGTTGGAATAACAAGATATAGAATCCTCGTCAGTTGTTCTCCGACTCTCCCAGGTAATATTCAAATTTGTTTTTTTTTTTTAATTCAAATTATTGGTTACCATTTCATTGATATGGGCAAAATCCCAGGTTAAATCCAACTGTATACCGATGAACTTTCTCAGACTGCTGGATCTACATCTCAAAAAGACAGTTCTTGAAATTAGGTCAAATAAGTTGATCGATCTGATTGCGCCCCAACGAAACTGTTACAGTATATCGGTGAAAGAACAATATATGTGAATATAGAATGTCTGAATTGGCTAGTTTCTTAAGGTTACAGTTCCATCACTCGAAAGGTCTCTTCTGTTCTGATGATGAGTCCCATTGTTGAAAGCTGTGGAACCATGAACACAACACCTATACAGTTTGCAAAATGCATCAGTTTTTTTAAGGTGATATTGAAGTCTATCAACATGTTTTGATTTTTTTAAGTATTGTTTTTATAATTTTTTCCTCTGAAAGGTATTTAATATCAGATTATTATGGTTCTCAGCGGTGTAACTAATAAGTTACCAAATTATGCTTCTCTAATACCAAGTGACATACTTATTATATAAGTGGTAAACGTACTTGTTATATAATCAACTCAACATTTTAGAATAAACACAATTATAAATTTATATTTTTATTTCATATTTATATTTATATGTAATAAAAATATTTAAAAGAAGATCATTTCATTTTTACACCCAAATATTCAATAAGCATTTTAGTCGTGTGTTTTTTTAAAATAAAGATTAAGTGGTCTAATAAAGTGTTTATGACCCAATCAAAAAACTTATAACTAAATAGAATGTTTATTATATCTTATTTAAAAGTTAAACATTCCAATTAATTTGAGGGGATCTAGACTTCAAACAAAGTTGAGTGAAAAATTCAACTTAAAAGATGGATAATTCTGTTTTATATTCCATTTCTCTAGATAGGCACTCTGATGGGATGCTGTACAAGAAGAATAATACTAGGGATCATGAAAAAAATATCATGAAATGTATCATGAAAATTTTTTATCCGTTGATTAGTGTGTGATGTTTTATTGTATGTGTAATCAAAAGGTAGAGAATATTTCATGATCATTTTCATGATATTTAGAAATATGAAAGAAAACAAAACAAAACAAAACAAAACAAGAAATATGAAAGAATATTTCATGATCATTTTCATGATATTTTTTTCATGATTCCTAGCATTACTCATACAAGAAATATGAAAGAAAACAAAACAAAACAAAACAATACAAAATTTTAAAAAAAAAAACACACATTAACATACCCTACTCAAAATAGGTGAAAGTTCTCTGATTTTCCTTACATTCTTTACAAACCACCAAATTAAAAGCATAAAAACAACTAAAAGTCCAAAATATACGAACCACAGTACATGCCTAGTAAAAAATAGAAACCAAAAACCACTAATTAAATCCAAAAAAAAAAACTACTTGGACCCTTTCCAGTGTTGGATATGTAGTTAGTGACAGCCTTAGTACCCTCAGCAATGGCATGTTTTGCAAGCTCTCCAGGCAAAACTAGCCTCACCGCCCCCTGCACCTCCCTCGACAACAGCGCGTCATCCTGTCCGTGTATTTGGACAGCCTGGCGGCCTCCTCCTGTCCGTGTATTTGGACAGCCTGGCGGCCTCCTCTGCCAGCCTCTCAAACATGTCTGTCATGAAATTGTTGATAATAGTCATAGCCTTGGAGGATATACCCATATCAGGATGTACCTGTTTCATCACCCTATACACATACCTCTTATAGTTGTACACTTCACCACTAGTACCCCTTTTTCTTCCCCCTCTCTTTCTCTTTTTCTTCTCACTCTCTTCCATTTCTTGGGCTTTCTTGTTCTTCTTGGTTTTTTGTGCTTCTTGGGTTGTCTTCTTTTCACTCTCATCATGATCTTCATCTTGTTCTTGCACTGTTTGATCTTGTTCTTCCTCTTGGGTTTTGTCTTCAACAACAGTCTGTTTGGTTGGTGTTACAATCTCAACTTTTCTCTTGGTTTCTGACTGTTAGTGTATAATTGTTAATAGCTGTTATAGCATTATAGCTTTAGCATAGCTTTATCTTTTATATTGTAAATGCTTTATGCTTTCGGTAGGCATCCAATGCATCATATCCTCTCTATAAAGAGAGTGCATTCTCTTTGTAAACATAGATACACAATTACAGACAATTCAGTGTCTCTCTCTCTCTCTCTCTCTATCCTCTCTCTCTCTCTCTATCAAACTATTGTTACGATTCCAACGGCACCACGCACGTCATCAGAAACTCCTTAACGCGCTCTCATGCGCCTCCTATGTGATCGGCGCGTCTCTTCTTCCGTCGCCACTCTCACACGCGCCTTCACGCGCCTTTAGGTCTGCTCCTTCGTGCGCTGCGCCTGCTACCGTGCACCCGCGTGCGCTATCCCTCTACCGTGAGCCGCGCCTGCCCCGTTCCACTATCGTGCACCCGCCTGCGCCATCCTGCTATTGTGAGCCGCGCGTGCGCCAGTTTTGCTAACGTGCGCCGCTGACATCATCTTACATTCTGCTGATATCATCTCTACACAGCACACCTTTCCTAGCTATTTTCGACCTTCCAGACTCATTGGTATACTCTGTTTTACCTAATTTTGCTCCTACAGGTTTATTCCTATTAATTTAGCCCGACTCAACTATTATTATGGATCATCATGATGCCTCCCATCCCATTTCCCATTATTTTGAATGGTTCAAACTATGTTCTGTGGGCCCAAGCCATGCCTTCCTTCCTCAAAGGAAAGAAGCTCTGGCGAATTATCACCGGGGATGTGACCAAACCGGTGAAAGACAGTGACACTAATGAAACTACTACTACTACTGCTACATATGAAGACCGACTTGAGGAATGGGACAGTAAGAATTACCAAATCATTACCTGGTTTCGTAATACCTCTGTTACCCCTATCAGTCTTCAGTTTGGTCGCTTTCAGCTTGACTCTGTAACTACTCCTGCAAAAGACATCTGGAATTTTTTGAAAGAACGATACCAGACTATTGGTCTTGCCCATCAATATCAACTTCAGAACCAACTTCATCGCATGCACCAAGAATCCACTCAGTCCATTAATGACTTCCTTTCTCAAATGACCTTCCAGACTCCTTGGTACACTCTGTTTTACCTAATTTTGCTCCTACAGGTTTATTCCTATTAATTTAGCCCGACTCAACTATTATTATGGATCATCATGATGCCTCCCATCCCATTTCCGTTATTTTGAATGGTTCAAACTATGTTCTGTGGGCCCAAGCCATGCCTTCCTTCCTCAAAGGAAAGAAGCTCTGGCGAATTATCACCGGGGATGTGACCAAACCGGTGAAAGACAGTGACACTAATGAAACTACTACTACTGCTGCTACTACTGCTACATATGAAGACCGACTTGAGGAATGGGACAGTAAGAATTACCAAATCATTACCTGGTTTCAAAATACCTCTGTTACCTCTATCAATCTTCAGTTTGGTCGCTTTCAGCTTGACTCTGTAACTACTCCTGCAAAAGACATCTGGAATTTTTTGAAAGAACGATACCAGACTATTGGTCTTGCCCATCAATATCAACTTCAGAACCAACTTCATCGCATGCACCAAGAATCCACTCAGTCCATTAATGACTTCCTTTCTCAAATGTACTCTGTTTGGGATCAGCTTGCTCTTTCAAAACCAACTTGGCATGACCGAGAAGATGCTGTTTTATTTACTATCTATCGCAATCAGCAAAGGTTGGTGCACTTTCTCATGGATCTTACTTCCTCTTTTGAGCCCGTACGTGCCTCTCTGCTTCATCGCCATCCATTGCCACTCTTGAACAAGCAATTTCTGAGTTGCTATCAGAGGAGACTCGTCTCGGTACTCTTCAAACTCATCATGTGGACTCTATTCTTGCCACTCCTCCATACCGGCCATCATTTACCCAGCGGACCACTGCCTGCCTCTATTGTCAAAATCGGGGCCTTCCTTCAACACATCTCCTGGTCAATTGCCTCGTCAGATCCTGCCGCTACTGCAACAAACTTGGTCCCGGTCATCTGCAATAAGATTGTTTTCGCAATCCATCCCGATCATCCTCCAATAGCCACTCCTCTCGCGGTGGCTCTTCCCGGGGGAGCTTTCATCGTTCCGGGAATCAGTCTCATCACACTGCTGCTGCTACTGCTGCCTTTGAGGGGTTCTTTGAGTCACCTGCTCCATCTACCTCTCGTTTTTCTCAAACGGATGTAGAGGCCATGCTCAAACATCTCCTCTCCCCTTCTGGTACACCTCCTCCTACTGCTTTGTCTGTGATCCCAAGTAACTCTTCTTGGTATTTTGACTCTGCCTGTTGTAATCATATAACCTCCAGTTCTACTATATTTTCTTCCATCTCTTCATCTCCTCATATTCCCTCAATTCAATACTGCTGATGGTTCCCTCATGTCTGTCCGTCATGTTGGTACTGTTTCCACATCTTCTTTATCTATACCTCAAGTTTATCATATCCCTGCTCTCACCTTAAACCTTATTTCCATTGGTCAATTATGTGAACTTGGTCTAACTGTGACATTTTCTGCTACTGATTGTTTGGTACAGGACCCTCAGACGGGGCAGACTATTAGGATCGGCCGTACGCATGGACGTCTCTATGAACTCATTCACCTTCATGTTCTTGCCTCTCCTCAGATCGCTACTCCTGCATCTACTTTCTCATTATCTCCCTTTCATCTTTGGCATTGTCGCTTAGGGCATATTTCTGTTAATCGTTTAAATTCTTTGATTTCTAGTGGACAGTTGGGTCATGTAATTCCAGATAATTTCGATTGTATACCCTGTCAACTTGCCAAACAACCTGCTTTATCATTTAATAAAAGTACTTCTGTTTCCCTTGCACCTTTTGATCTTATGCATTCGGATATTTAGGGCCCCTCCCCTACTACTACTATGGGGGGATCTCGCTATTTTGTTGTTTTTATTGATGATTTTTTCCGGTTTACTTAGCTTTTTCTCATGCAAAATAGGTCTGAACTTAAACACATTTATTATAGATTTGCCCAAATGGTCCACACCCAATTCTCCAAAGCCATCAAAATTTTTCGCTCTGACAATGCTATGAAATATCGGGATTCAGATTTCCTTTCATTTCTTTAGCGTCATGGTACACTGCCTCATCGTTCCTGTGCTGGCACGTCCCAGCAAAATGGCCGCGTTGAACGGAAACATAGGCATATTCTTGACACTACTCGCGCTCTCCTTCTATCTTCTTCCTGCCCAGAAAACTTTTGGGGGGAAGCTGCCCTCACTGCTGTTTACACTATTAATTGTGCTCCTACCCCTGTCATCCATAATCAAACTCCCTTTGAACGTCTGCATGGCACTCCCCCTCCTTACGCCAATCTTCGGGTTTTTGGCTCTGCCTACTTTGTTTTGCTTCAATCCCATGAACACACCAAGCTTGAACCTCGTTCTCGTCTTTGTTGCTTTCTTGGATATGGAATTGAACATAAAGGCTTTTGCTGTTGGGATCCTCTCTCTAAACGTCTTCGTATCTCCCAACATGTCGTTTTCTAGGAGCACCAAATGTTTTCCAGGAGCACCAAATGTTTTCCTCACTATCCTCCTTTCACTTACCCGCACTTTCCACTAATGTACTGTTTACTAATCCTTCCATAGATCTTTTCTCTGATGATTTTGATATAGGTTCCTCCTTCATCAAGACGCCCTTGTTCACTCTTGATCCCGTCCAGCCTGCTCTCTCTGAAGGTTCACCTCTCATTGCCACACCTCCTTCTCCACCGATTCTTCCTCCCACCGATCCTTCTACGGGTCGACCACGCCGGGTAACTCAACCTCCTATCCATCTTCGTGATTATATTGTTGGATCTGCTGCCTTCTCTACTTATGAACCTACTTCCTATCATGAGGCTTGTACTAATCCTCTTTGGCAACAAGCTATGACTGATGAACTCTAGGCCTTGGACAAAACTCATACTTGGGATCTTGTTGATCTTCCTCCTAGCAAGACTGCGATTGGCTGCAAATGGGTTTATAAAATCAAAACACATTCTGATGGCTCTATTGAACGCTACAAAGCTCGTCTTGTTGCCAAGGGTTTCAACCAGGAATATGGTATTGATTATGAGGAGACATTCTCTCATGTTGCTCGGCTTACCTCTGTTCGCAGTTTACTTGCTGTTGCTACTGCTCGCCACTGGGGGCTCTTTCAGATGGATGTCAAAAATGCTTTCCTCAATGGTTCTCCTGGTCAATTGCCCCGTCAGATCCTGCCGCTACTGCAACAAACTTGGTCCTGGTCATCTGCAACAGGATTGTTTTCGCAATCCATCTCGCTCATCCTCCAATAGCCACTCCTCTCGCGGTGGCTCTTCCCGGGGAAGTTTTCATCGTTCCGGCAACCAGTCTCATCACACTGCTACTACTCTTCTTCTTCTGTATGTGGATGATATGATTATCACTGGTAATGATGAAGTTGGTATTCTCCACCTCAAACAGTTTCTCCACCGACAGTTTGAGATGAAGGACCTTGGTACTCTTAACTACTTCTTAGGCCTTGAAGTCTCTCATGATTCTACTGGTTCCTATTTGTCCCAGGCCAAATATGCATCCGATCTTTTGGCTCGTGCTGGTCTTACTGATTGTAAAACTACCTCTACTCCAGTTGATCCTCAGATTCGTCTCACTCCTCTCGATGGGACTTTTCTCTCCGATGCTACTCTTTATCGCCAGCTCGTCGGCAGTCTTGTCTATCTCACAGTGACTCGTCCTGACATTACCTATGCTGTTCACATTGTCAGTCAGTACATGTCAGCTCCTCACACTCCCCACTATACTACTCTACTCCGCATCCTTCGCTACCTCAAAGGCACTCTATTCCATGGCCTTCACTTCTCTGCTTCCTCCTCTCTTGAACTGCGTGCCTTTTCCGATGCTGATTGGGCTGGGGATCCTACGGATCGACGCTCTACCACGGGATTCTGCTTCTTCTTAGGGAATTCTCTTATTACTTGGCGTAGCAAAAAACAATCCCTCATTGCCCGCTCTAGCACCGAAGCTGAATACTGAGCTCTTGTTGATACTACTCAGGAACTTCTCTGGCTTCACTGGCTCCTTGCTGATATGGGTGTTTCTTCTTCTGGTCCTACCCTTCTCTATTCTGACAATCAGAGTGCCATTCAGATTGCTCACAATAATGTTTTTCATGATCGCACCAAACATATTGAGATTGATTGTCATTTCATTCGCCAGCATGTTACCTGTGGTACTGTTCATCTTCTCCCTATTGCTTCAGTCGATCAACCCGTTGATATCTTCACTAAGGCCCATCCTCCTGGACGCTTCAATGATCTTGTTTCCAAACTCAACTTGGTTGATGCTTTCCCTCCTTGAGTTTGCGGGGGGATGTTAGTATATAATTGTTAATAGCTGTTATATCATCATAGCTTAGCATTATAGCTTTAGCATAACTTTATCTTTTATATTGTAAATGTTTTATGCTTTCGGTGGACATCCAATGCATCATATCCTCTCTATAAAGAGAGTGCATTCTCTTTGTAAACATAGATACACAATTACAGACAATTCTGTGTCTCTCTCTCTCTCTATCCTCTCTCTCTATCAAACTATTATTTCGCTGACACTGAAATTTGAACAGTTTCTTTGACAACAACTTTCCTAGTGGATCTCAGCACAGTGCCCATATCATTCCCTGAACGTTTCTTAGGACCCATCTCTCTCTCTGAAATGTAATTCTTTGCCTTTTTCTAGTTTTCCCTCTTCTTTGGATCGGTTTAAAAGTGGAGAATTTGCTTTCAACTAGGATATGTAACTGTTAAGGTTTGTAGAGGTTGGCACGTAGAGGACAGGTGCCAATAATCTTTTGAATAAAAAAAAAATTTGAAAAGGAGTTGAGGGTGCAGTTAAAAGTGAAAAGGAGTTGAGGGTAAAAAAAATTTTTAAAAAAAAAAATTATAAATCAATATAGAAAGATTAAAAATAATTACAAGTGTAACTTTTTTTTTTTTTTTTGTGAAAAAAAAAAATTACTGTAAAAGCTATGTTCCACTAAAAGGTAAATAAAATTTTCACTTTTTATCTTGTAATTTTCTATCTAATAATATGTTATTATGTATCTTAGGAGAAATTTCAAATCAGTGTATAAGTTAAAAAATAATTATAAATTGATAGTAAATTTTATTAATATTATTAATTAAAATTATAAATTTTTCCATACATATGTAATAATTTTCTATAATTATCACCTCCAGGTAATTTCTCCTTATCTTTAAGGCAGTTATTTCTTGAAAGTTAGATTTTCCGTTCATATGTAGGTTTGGAATTTTCAGCTTAGATCGTCAATGCTCAAGGAATAATCTCTGCCTTTTCTTTGCCCCCAATGTGAGCCTGAGTTTGACTTGGGTTTACATTAATTATATCTTCAATAAACATTAATGCATAACTTTATCAATCATGTGTGTTGAAAGAATTCTGAAAAGACTTTATTGATGATATCGGCCAAAAAATGATGCACATCTAATGATAGAAAAATTTCAAATTACAAGTATTCCAAGGTCTGGGCAATGCTTTGCCCTCATTGTCCTCAAGCCGATAAGCTCCATTGCCTAATACTGAAGTGATTCTGTAGGGTCCTTCCCAGTTTGGGCCAAGCTTGCCTTCCCTGGGATCCTTCTTGTTCCCGACGACTTTTCTCAGGACTAGGTCGCCGACTTGAAAATCTCTTGGATTGACCTTCTTGTTGTAAGCTCTGGCAAGCTGTTGCTGGTATACTGCAAGCTGAATTGCAGCTTTCTCTCTTCGTTCTTCCAACAAATCCAGATCTCGGGCTAAGAGTACGTCATTGGTGCCATTCTCTACTCCCTGGGTTCTGATCCCTGGGATGCCGATCTCCAATGGGATGACTGCTTCTGTGCCATAAGCCATGGCAAAGGGGGATTCTCCTGTTGATCTTCTCGGCGTAGTCCGATATGCCCAAAGTACATTGAGCAATTCGTCTACCCATTTTCCTTTTGCTGCCTGCAGCCTTTTCTTTATTCCATCCAAAATTA